TCCAAGGACTTCACCCACACCCCCGTTAAGTTCTCCTGGGGTCCACGTATTTCATACAGTTCCACACACCTTTTTTTAGGTACCCATTTTACTCATCTGTTCCACTGGAACTGGATGCTCCCAGAGGGCAGACTTCACTTTCTCATTCACTACTTTGTCCTCAGAGCCAAAAATATACCCAGAACACACAATACTCACTTATGGATGTAGAGAAATCTACGAAAGACACCCAAAGGCCAAACAAGGGGAACCAGAGGGAGAAGCCAGAAGTCCCTGCCCCCGGCTGACTCAAACTCAACAGTCTCAGACGACCCCTCCTCCCCCTCAGCAAGCGCAGAACCCTGTGAATGACAAGCTAAGAGCGGCTCACATTTCATCAGAACCTGTCACACGCTGGCCCCACTGGAAGCTTTTCACGCATGTGAACTGTTAAGATACACTATACAGTCCTGAGGTGGCCCCATTTCACACAAGAGAAAATAGGTTCCCAGAGAGGGTGGAAGCTGCCTGTGACACAGGCGAGCCCACGGTGGAGACTGGTCTCTGCTGGCTCTGCAGGGCGCCTGCTGTCATACACCTGCCTCCGTTTCTCAGCTGGCAGAAAAGGAAGTCTGCCCTCCAAGCTCAGTGCCCCTTACCTGAACCCACCAGGACGTCTGGGTTCCCCAGGGTGACAGCTGCTGTGAAGTCAGAACCCCGATACTCCCCGTCTACTTGCCAGTTCACAAACTTCGACTGCTGGGTCTGCAGGGAGAAGGTGGGTGTGAGGGCACTCAGGGGCTCAGGGTGCTTGGGGGAGCAGATGACATGAAGCCCACTTACCTGGATGGCCATCTTGGACCTGAGGCCAGGGCCCAGCTGGTGAATGACCTGAGCATTGAGGCTGCCGCTATTGTCCATGTCACCCACCAGCACGGGGAACGCCTGTGAGGCAGAGGGCAGTTAGAGGTCTTAGGATTGCAGAAGTGTCAGGCTGGACGTCAGAGGCCTGAATTGTGATGAGAAGCCTAGATCAGAAAGCCTCGGATGGAGGTTCTCTATTCTAACCAGCCCTCCTGACAGCCTGGGCCAAGTCAGGGACCCCTGCTGTTAGGGCTGAGGGCTTTTGGGACCCCCCAGTTCAGGATCATTACTCTGTTTTCCTACCACCCCCAGCTAGACTGTGACCACTATGGGTTTGCTCGACAAACAGTGTGGCACACCACACCTCAGCTACTCTGCTGTGTCCCCAGCACTGCCCAGCTGCAGAAAGAATTGGGGTACAATTAATGTTTGTGGAATACATTAATTGTGGAATACATTAACTTACTGAGCGGAAATAGTTACTATAAGCAGAGACCTAATTCAGCCTACAACTGTGCAGGTGTGCTGCCCCGGCTTGAAGTAGGCTCCCCCCCCCCCGCCTCTGCACATCCACACAGGTATAGGGATCATTCAAAAACGCACAAATCTAACCCGTCTTTCCGGTGTTCAAATCTTTGTGTGACTCTCCAGTGCCCCCTAGAGAAAAACCAAGCGTCTCGGTGGCTTTCAAAGCCCTTCCCGGTCTATAGGCCAACCTTGCCTTCCCTGGTCTCTGTCTAGTGACAGGTCACCCCGCTGTCCCTGGCCTCATCCACCACAAGGCTGGGCTGAGAGCAGGGTTTCAGAACAAATGACTGGTCTTCCCATACATTCTGGAGAGACAGTCCCCACGTCCCAATACCCTCAAGCAGCTCTGGCTGCCCCTTGACAAAGACTTCTTTCCCTAACGTTTGGCTACATATTTGTTAAGACAGAAGATACAATGAATAAAAATTAGAGGAACCTCACCTCTGTGGGACTGAGCTGCTTTGTCCCCACATACGTCACCCCAAAGTGGTAATTGGACTCTCCAATTGTGCTGAGGGCTACTGTGTGGTTTACCTGGAAGAGGGAGGGTTGTGGGGATGAGTGGATGTGCCCTTACCCCCGCCTCATCCACAGCAATAAACCCAGCTAACCCACCCCGCACTCCCAGCACAGCTGTCCTCCCGCCTGAGGGATACTTTCTAGACTGGCTTCCAGAAGAGGGAGGAAGTGTCAGGTCATGCTGGGCTAGGCAGGGATGAAGACTGGAGGTGTGGCCAGAACAGATCAGATACTGGGGGTGGGGCTACATACCTGGTACTTCATTCCTGCCAGGGAGCTACTTGGGGGTAGGATATCTCTGGACTCTGGCCCCCTAAATCTATCACTGCCCCCCACTGAGTAGTCAGTTTAGCTTTTCCAATATCAAGAAGCCCAGCCCTTTAAGGACTAAGAGAGTTGTATGTGCAGATGCAGGATGGTTGGGATGACCTCTGGAGGATAAGGTCACTGGGGAGGCTCACCTGGAAATGGTTACTCAACCCCTTGTTGACTGTGAGCTTGACACCTTCCATCTGAATGGGAAACAGTTCTGAAGAAAAGAAATGCTGTCACCTTCCACCCTACACACACATACCAACTCTCATTCCTTCCTTCCCAATGCTCCCTTCTCCAGGGACCCACAAGCAGAACACTGAACAATATGCCTAAACAGCAGAGGCAGGATAACCTTAGTGGATGGGGCCAGGACGTGGATCGGACGCCTTGTCTGTATCCATATCTCAGCGCTAGCCCCTACTTACTGCCTGTGTGACTTCGGATAAGTCACTTTATACCAAACTTGTCACATTTAAGATGAGGGCACCCAACACATGAAGACCCCGCAAGGATTTAAGGCATTCATAGGTAGAGAAGACCAGAACAGGGCTCTATAGGTCTCTTGCTTTTTGCTCTCAAGATTATTGCCAGCCAGGATCCCGGAGCCTTGGGTTCCCCATCTTCATTAGACCCCTGCTGACACTGTGACCTTGGGCCTCAGTTCCCTTCCCGATCTCCTGGGGAAGTTGCCTTGGGGGATCCCTGGGACTCCTGAGGTGCCTGAGGCTTTCTTTAATGCTAAGGCATTCCAAGCCTAGGTTCCACCATTTGATCCCATCGTTCTTAACCCCAAGGCCAACGTTCCACCATTTGATCCCAACGTCAACTCGTAACGCTGTTCAATGAGTCCAATGGTCCGTGCCAACTCCCAAGGTCCTCAATGCGCTCCCTCTTCTCCCGAGATCTGGGCCATCACACCCACCAGGGCCCTCGCCCCTCACCCTTGCACTTCCGGTGGCACTCCTCGAACGTGCCCGGGTTGGGCAGGCAGCCGCAGGCCCCATCGTCCGCGGTCCCTGCGGCGCTAGCGGCCGCAACCCCGGGGGTCCGTTCCGAACCCCGACCCGCGCCAGCCCCGGCGCCCAGGCCGCCCCCGAGCGGCGGCAGCGTGAAGCCCGGAGGAGAGGGGGGAGGCGGCGGCAGTCCCACGAGGGCGGGCGCAGGAGGCGGCGGCGGCCCGGCGGGCGGTGAGCTGGCGGCCAACACGTTCCCCATGGTTGCCCGCAAGGGGAAAGGTCGGAGGGCGGAGGTCAGGGCCCGCGCGCTCCGGGTCTGGCACCAAGTCAACCCCTGCCCCGCTCCGGGCCCCGGCCCTCACTGGAGGCAGCGCCTGCTCCCGGCCTGGGATCCGCTCCCACCCCGTGCGCCACGCGCAACCGAACCCGCTGTCGCCGCCGCCACCACCGTCGCTCCGCCCCGCTTAGCCCATTGGCTAGGCATGCTCTGAGCTCCGCCCACCAGCTTCACGGCCTGACCTCGCTATTGGAGTCATGGATGGAAGTCCCACCTACCACTTTGGGCCGTATTTTACTATTGGTTCTCAGCCATGGCAGGGCAGAGCACACCTCCCCGCCCTTCCTATTGGCTCGTGGATTCCATGCTTATTGGTTTGCGACGCCGCGGGTTCCGGTGCTCACCCACCATTGGCCGATGCTGCGCACCTTGGGACGCCCACTGACATTTCGCCTCCGCCTCCTCCAGGCTGAGCCCTTCTTTCGACTCCGCCCCAAAGCGAAGTTGCTCAATAATTGGTCTGCTTTGGCCATGGCAGCATTTTGATTGGCTTCGGCAAGTCCGCGGTCCGACCCTGTGACGTAATCAGTTTGGTGCGCTCATTGGCTAACAGGCCAGGGTCGAGGGACACGGGTAAAGGTGGGTTGCACTGCAGAGGCTGCTAGGCAGCAAGGTCAGGCCTCGCGTCCCACCAGGCACCGCGGCAGAGGTGCAGCCCCCTAGTCCCGAGTCGCCGACAGGCAACCGGAAGTGCCGGCCCTTCCCACAGTGCCTCGGGGGAATTCTAACCGGTTAAGTGAACCTTGCCCCGCTTCTCGTTACCCACAATGCCTCGTACCAGTTTAACGCTACAGTTGCCGTAGACCCACCCCTTTCGTTACCCATCAACCTGTTCACCCCGCCTTCCCCCACCCCCGTCCTGTGGCTTCTATCTTTGGCCCATTCATTCCGGTCCCATTACCCAGCATGCCGCTCGCCCCATTCATTCCAGCTTCATTGCCTGTACTACCTTTAGCCCATTTCTGCCAGTTTACTTCCATCATTCTTCTAGCCTTTCTTAATTAAGCATCGTATTTTAGGTCCATTACTCATCATGCTTGCTGCTCCTATTTCTCCATTTTTCATCCCTCTCTGCCTGTGGCTCATTCATACAGATCTCTTACCCGATATGCCCCTAACTGTAACATCTGTATTTTTGCCTTTGGTCTATTCTTGCCATTTATCCATTAAACCCAAGACCCTCCTACTTAACTACTTCCATTTCTGTATTTGCTCCGTATATTTCTATCTACTACTCATTAGACTGTTGCACTGATTCCTTTCCATGAACCACCTTAGCCTTCACTCGTGCCCCTCTCCTTCCATTTTTGCTCATTAATCCCTCCCCCTCCACTAAAGTATTCTTTTCACATTGTTGACCCATTTATTTTCGTCGAACCTCTTTTGACTCCTAGTCCGAGTCCCCTCAAGCCCTGGCCCTCCCGTGCACTAACCCCTTCCCTTCACATCCCAAAGAAAACACAAGTTGAGCCGTGGTGAAAGTATAAACTCATTATTTTGTAGGAAAGACTATATTACAAAACAACAACACATCTTCTACCCCCAACCAGGTGACCCACTCCCCACCCCAGAGAGGTTTGGGTCCTATCCAACTGGACAAGAGTAAAAAGACTCAGTAGTCTTCAAAGTAACAGCAAATTCTTCTCCTGAGGCTGGACCATCAAGGCACACACTGCATGAGGCTCATCTGGCCCTGGGCTGGGATTTAATTCTCTGTAGACAGGAACTAGGGTAGTAGGGGCTCAGAACCCTGAGACTCCTGCCTGCAGGAGAGAGCAGATGGGGAAGCTCTGCCTTGGGCTGGAGAATGCCCTCTTTCCTACCTTTGGAGAACAGGGCAGGGAGGGGGCCAATGTCACTCTGCTGCCTGGAGGGCTCAGGTCTGAGCAGCAGGGTGCCCCCAACACCTAGCCTACAGTTACTGGACAAATCATAGGTTTGAGGTCTTTGACATTTTGGAGTTGAGAGGGGAGGCAGAGCACAGTTTTAAGTTCTTGGTTCAGAGATATGAGATAAAGTTATCAGATTTCCTTGTCGAAGGATAGTTTTTTTGGGTCAGAGATCCTGGACGAGAGGTCATAGTGGTGCCACCAAGGTGGGGGTCACCTTGGGTGCAGGTGTGTTAACTGACAGTGACCTGGCCAGAGGTCAGTGGGCATTACCATCCCTGGCAGAAAGTTGAGGGATTAAAGGTGAGGCAGTGGGCGGCCAGAGCCATGGCAGCTCACACATACATGGCTCGGGACATGACAAAGCCTTTGCCTTGGTAGGAGTCAGAGGGGCTGGAGTAGGACAGGGCGTCGTAGATGGGGTTGATCTTGTCCAGATAATCTTCCTCCTCTTCCTCCTCATCCTCTAGGTTCAGGGAAACACCCTCCACAACAGATGGCCCCGGAGGCATCACGATGGGGGACCCCAGACTTGTGGCCCTCAGGAGGAGGGGCCCCGATCGCTCTTCCAAGGTGGGCAGCTCATGATATCGAGGCATTTCCTAGGGGTGGGGTGCGGATAGGAGCTCAAGATCAGCCCCACACCAAACAGACTTCCAATCTTCCCCTTGAATTCTGAACCCTATCCATGCAACCAGGCCTGACCTTTCCTTGTGACCTAGGATGATATTTCACTGGGACAATTATATGGCTCATCCCTAACTCAAAGCCCAGAGTATGGATGTCACCCTGTCAACTCTTAGCTGTGTCTCTGAATTTTGCTGCCTGGCTCCATCTTTCCCCGTGAACTTTTGCCTTCAGTCGTGACCTCAGCTAAACCTAAACAGCCTCTTGAGTCTTGACTTGTCTCAACCTCAATACCTGACCTCTGACCTCTTATAGACCACTGAAGGGTAGGACCATCTGCCTTGTCCCTGTTCTAGGCAAAGTGTCAGGCAGAGGTAGATGTCCAATCCATCTTGAATAACAAGAGTGACTTTCACTCTGTCCTCATGTCCCTGGGCTTTTCCAGCCATGACTTCCCCTACTGAAGCCTCGTGACATGCTGATGCTCTCAGCTCTGATCAAAGACAGCCCTGACCTGTAGTTGTAACCATTAGTCCTTGACTGCTCATGTTAGGGACTGACCCATTTAACTTCAAACCCAAACCCACATCCATCCTTGTCCTCCCCCAAGGCCTACCTGCTCAGCACATGAGATGCCAGCATCAAAGTAGGGGGTCTTGAGTGGGCTGTGCTCTGAGGCCCCCAGAGTGAAGAGCTGGGAGGGCTGTGGTGGGAGTGAGACAAGTCAGGCTTTTCCCCCTCCCCAATGCCAGCCTCTCCCAACCTCCCTCCAGCCTCCCGCCCCCGCGCTCCCAGTCCTGGCCTAGTTGGGAAAGTAGGGGTAGAGGTGGGGCAGCTGAGCGCCAGGGAAGTGCTCACCATCTCTGCCTCCTCCAGCTTGGCCTTGGGAGTTGGTGGCTTGTACGATGGAGGTCCCTCCAGACTGCAGAGTAGGAGTTTAGTCAGGTGGAGGGTTACGCCGCAGTCCTCCATTCCACGCACTGCCTCTGGCTGACCCTCCCTTCCACCTGCCCAGCACCCTTACCTGGCTACTCCCTACTTCCTTCATGAGTTTCTTGTCTAGGAAGCTTCCCTGGCCCTCTGGAGGGTCAAAGACCACTGTTATATAGAGCTGTGCTTATTGAGTTTCTGTTTGTTCTTTCTGATCTTCAGTGACCTCACCCACTATGCCCACGTGAGGGAAAATGATGTGTCACCTGTCAGTATCACTTTCCCAGAACCCCTTATGATGGATTCAGTAAATTTTTATTAAAAGAATGAAGGCAGAAGTGAATGAAGTTCTTCCTATTCCCCCAACTATGTTAAATCCCCTCATTCCATACACCCACAGACACAGCATCCCAAATACATAATGACGGGTGCTCATTATGCTTCCATCCAGGGATGTCTCTTAGCCCAGGAAGCCTTCCCTGACACGCCATGCTTGCTCAGGTGCCCCCCGCCCCCAACTTACAGCTTCTTCAGCTTCCCTAGCATGGCCCTGGTCATGCTTCCCTGTGACTATTCGGGCAGGGTGTGTCTCCTCTAGACTGTGAGCCCGGGAGGGCAGGGCCAGTGCCATTTTGGGCACCACTGGGCCCCAGCATCAGTGAGGCATAGCAGATGGGAACATCAGCTGCCTGTTTGCACTGACTAGGTCATTAAAACAAGGCAAAGGGTTCACAAACTTTCTTATTCATCTGAGTAACTCCGGAGGCTCAGTATAAATACAAACTTGTAATAGTTCCGGTTCAGTCAATTTGGGGTGAAGCCCAGGAATAGGCATTTTCAAAAATATGCATTTTTAACAAGTGTCCCCTGCCCACATAATGTACACATACTGGGTATTGTGATTTCAGAGCCATTTCAGACCCCACAAATGCTTAATTGCCGAGTAACTTTCAGCAAGTGATTTCAGCTCTCTGAACCTTTTTGACCTCTTTGCCGGGTACCACTAGTTCTCACAGAAATGTAGGACTCAAACTCACATGTGCGTGGACACTTCAAATGTTTGTCTTATGACTGTTGTTTCTAATCTCCAGGGCCTAACCCCAAGTGGGCACCTTCTCTATACTTCTTGAGTCAATGAATAGATGAGAAGCTTCTCATGTCACATGAGATAGCTAAAAAGTGCCCTACACAGAGAAGTGGGGCTAGCGTCCTGCAATAGCCAACCTCCTCCTCTCTCCTGGTAATGTAGTTTTTAGCTGGGCACAGGGCCTCCCCGAATGAAGACTACATTTCCCTGCTTTCCCCACAGCTGGGTTCTGGCTAATAAACGTGAGATGAAGTGATGACTCTCTACGTCTCTTTCCCGCTGAGGTCAGGATCACCATGTCTGTTTGTCATGTACAAGGGAAGAGTGGGGAGCCATCTTAGAGTGTGAATGAAGGCCACAGTGCAGGGAAAGGGAGCTAAGCCAGCAGGAGCCTGGGCTACCGGCTATTTTCACAGAGCAGAACTGTCATGCCCACACTTTATGGGAGACACAGATATGGGGTGTTCTTTCATTGAAGTCATAGTTATGGGGGGTCTCATGTCACTCATGCAGCCACCATGGCTGATTTTCCTCTCCTTCATCCCCCCCGCCCGTGTCCCCCATCTGCTTCTTGGGGCCCATCACTCACTCATCCTCCTCCTCTGCTCCCTGCAGCCTCTGCTCCTTCTGTTGCTGCCGGCAGATGAGGATGCCCGTGGCAGCCACAGCTGTGGCAATGATGGCGGCGATGATGCCTCCAATTATGCCACCCGTGGCCCCTGCACCTGCCGTATTGGGGGTTTCTGCAAGAAGAGGGACAATGTGAGGGGGGTCTCCGGTAGGACGCCACGATTTCTCTTTTCCCAGCCGCCAACCCCCACCTGCAACCATGGGCAGGGGACATTCACTTATTCAACTAACCCTTCCTGAGCACTCGCTGTGATGGAGGCGGATCAGGGGCACACACATCCCAGCCATGGAACCTGTGTTCTGGTTGGGCAGAGAGGCCACAGCACAGAAACCAACACCGCTCACATGCAGGTGGCAGGTAAGTGATGCAGGAGACAAGAGCACCGTGGGGGAGGGGTCAGGAAATGTAGGGCAGCTCTGCAGGGCAGCCAGCTTAGCAGGAAGCAGGAACATCTGACAAAGACCTGGAGGGTCAGGGGGAGACAGAACATCCAGCGTTTCAAGGTAAAGACCCTTGGAGGGGGAGGCTGAACCACCAGGAGACAGCAAACAGTGAGGGGCGAGCTGGAGGGCGGAGTGCAAAGAGGGAGAAGGCAGAGCTCCAGGCAGAGAACCGAGAGGGTTGAAGTAGGGGCAGCAAACCCTCATTCGCTACTGGTAGACAAATCGCAAATCGGAGCTCCTCCAGCCAAACAGGAAAAAGGGTCTGGAGAAGCTCACGGCCCCCTGCGGCTCTCCTTTGTAGTGCTTCCTGCTTCCTGCTTCCTGCATCCCTCGCTGGAGCAATTCCTGTTTACTTGCCAATTTTGTGCTAGACTGTGAGCCGGCCATTAAGAGGGGCCAGCGCTGGCCCGCAGAAACCTGCTGTGATGACAAACTCAGCACTGCCCTGTTGCAAGGCCCTCCCGTGGTGGGGTGGGGACAGGAGTTACAGAAATGAAAACATGCACAAAAGCGGCCCCCCTTCCTGCAGCTTTCACCAATTCTGCTATGCACTAGGGCAGAGATGCCCGGTGGAGGGAGGTCTGCTCCCAGGCCCTCCCAGGCTGCTACGGCTTCTTGGTCCACAGCAGGTGTCTTCTGTGGGGCTTCCTCACAGCTCCTCCCAGGCCAGCTTCCTAGAACCACTGTTCTGCTTGGTATTGGTATGCACTGGCACCTGGGAGGGCAGCCTTGGGTTTTCCTGAGTCTCCAGGCTCCATCCCTGCTGTGTCCAGGGCGAGAGTAAGTGGAAGTCGTCCTGGTGGAGGGAATGAGCTCTCCACATCCCTCCTGCCCTGTAGCCGACAAAGGCCACCTGCTTTTTAGAGGTGGCCACACACTTGGCCAGAGGGAGCAGAGTGGGCTTGGGATTCACCTGGACCCCGCCAATCCCCCACCTCAGCCCCCAGCCTGGGTGCGGGAGAATTTGGGTGAGGAGAGTGGGAGTTACAGAGCCACAGGCCCTCCCTCCCCCTGGGGGCTGGGCCATGGACAAGGGAAGAGGAAGGACCCTGGAAAAGCCACTTGGGGGTGTGGAGAGGTGACAATGCTGTTTCTTAGTACCTTCTTCACCCAAGATCCTCCACAACCTTGGGATTGTGAAGCTGCCCCTAAGTGGACTAGTTAGATTATAGCCGCCACCCTGTCCTCCCAAGTCCAGGGCCCTAATATCCCCCTACCTCCTGGAATCCCCCCATCCAGGAAATCTCATTCCTCCCACCAAACTGATCCCTCCACCCAGGGAGGCAGCCTCTGTCTGCCCTGGAACCTCCTCCCACCGCCGCTTGCCCCCCCCCCCCAATCCAAGTGCCAGCCCCTAAGCCCAGTTCTCAGTTCCCTGACATGGGAGGGTAAACAGAATGAGCTGAGGTGTCCAACTTGTCCTTCAAGGACCCGTCTCCCCACACTGAACCCCACTAGGATCTTAATTCCTCAGGTCTGTTTCTTTTTTCCCACCACCTGGGACCCAGCAGTCCCTGCCCCACCCCCCAAGGAGGGGGTCCGATGTATTACAAGACACCCCCGATATTTTCCTCCAAGGCATTTATTAACTCCTGAGTGTCTTGGGGCTGGGGCAGGTGGGAGCCAAAAACCAGTCTCTGTGGGGTGTCCTCTGGGTCCATTACCCAGCTCCCCCGCAGCCTCCCCCCACCCATGCGGCCCTGCAGACAGAAGTCCAGTGTGGGATTCCACCTCCCTCCGGGAAAGTGGGAGGTAGCATTTGAGCTCCAGTATCATCCAGATGAACCAGTCCAACCAGTCTGGAACCCTTGGCTGGTGTGGCCACCCGGGCCACCCGGGTCTCAGTCTGTCTATGTCTGTCTGTCTGTCTGTCACACGTAAACCGCCCTCCGTGAGATGAGCGAGCCATCCAGCTGGGACTCCATGTCGTCCTCTAGTGCCGGGGGTGGAGGCAGCATGAGGCCCACCTCTGCCTTTTCCTCTTCCTCCTCCTCGTCTTCCTCCTCCTTGCCCTCTGGCCTCAGGGGAACAGGGGCTTTCGGTGTCCAGAAGACTGGGCCCCCATTCCCATACACCTGAGTTTTCGGATCGTAGGATCCTCTGTCGTCGATGTCGCCTTCTCCTCCTCCTCCTCCAGTGCTCTTCCTCCTCCTCCTCATCCTCAGCAGGATGAAGGCCAAGGACCCCCCAGCCAGAAGCAGCAGCACCAGCAGAGTCCCCCCTACAGCCCCCCACACCACTGGACCCATGTCTCGGGGCAAGGCCCGGGGGGTGTCTGAGGAGAGAGAGGAGGGTGAGAGAGAGAAAGGGAGACAGAGGTCAAGAGGATACATCTGTGGGAACAACACAGCCAGGGCAGTGGCAGGGGAGTCAGGGAGGCGACTCTAGGCAGAAGTGGAGCGGGTAGGTGACAACTGGGAGGCCTCAGATAGTTTCCTTACACCCACACAGAGTTTTTCAAAAGTTAAAACTCGCTGGCCAGTATTTCAAAAACCAGTTTACACCGAAAAGTCTAGATCTCTTTTAGGGAGGAAACATCAGTTCTGGCAATACCCAATTTTCAGCTCTTCCACCTGGTTCTCATGTAAGATCTGAGGTCAGGCCCCCTGCTCTTGAGGAGGCTCCTGCCGGGATGAGGCAGAGCTGGATTTGAGCTCCAGGCTGATTTAAAACTCTTGAGAGAAGGGGGTCTGAGAAGGGCTGTGGCGTGACAACTCCTCCCCAAGCAGGTGGGAGCATGGCAGGTGACCAGGTGTGGGGATGGAACCCAGGAAGCCAACTGTCCTGACTTCCTCTAGTGCTCCCTGAAGTGGGTGGGAGGAGAGGGGTCAGGGGAGGTGGGGCACAACGCCAGGGGGCACCAAGGAGGGCAGGGGGGGGGTGAGAAAGGGACATCCAGACCCGCTGCGTGACGGACACACAGACACTGGTGACCGCACTGCGCAGCCCTCCCCGCGCCCCTCTACACGAGAGGTGTGGGCCAGGATGCTGAAAGCACCTATTTCTAGGCGTTTTCAGATAGGGGGTGGGTCACAACCCAGGAAGGTAGCAATCAGTTTAAGTGACCTGTAAGCAGCACTGAGAACCAAAAACAGAATAGAAAACATTTATCTCAAGTGTGAAGGACAAGTTCTATTGAAAGGAACTTCTGGGGGGACACACGTCTGCTGCACACTGTGGGGAGGTGTCTACCAGCTTTCCTACTGGGAGCATGCCTCAGAAACATCTGGAACCAGCTTTAGCACATATTGGTACATTTGTTTGTTTCTGGGGTGGCCTTTTGAAAGATATCAAGTATGTTCTGTCTGTGTGTCGCAAAGTTCTCCCAACTCTGCCAGGTGACTCTCCTCAGCCTGGACCGGCTGAGTGCCCCTCTATATTTGCAGTGGTGTGGGCCCCAAATCACGTGTCTGTGACCATGCGCCTGGGTCTGTGTGGTGGTATGGGAAGGTGACATGCTGCGGCCTCTGCCACCAGAGCCATGAGGGAGAGCCCTCTCCGGGTGGGCATACTCCCTTCCTATAGGACTTCTAGGGTGCTCAGTGTGCCTGTTTCTGTGGGATCCTCTTTCGGCACCTGTCACGCTAGTATATCTGGATCATGTGAGTGTCTGTGGCTTCTTGGGGCGGGGGGATGTCTTTCCATAAAGCTGAGTCTCTCTGCAGTGAGTCTATGTGTACCCCCAGCTTCCTGATGGGGTTCTGAGGGTGTGCACGCCACCAGATGCAAACTACCCAAGGGCTGAAGTCTGGAGCCAGTGTATTCTCTCTGGGGAGTACGTTTCGGGCAGTGAACATCCCTAAGGGTTCTGTGCATTCAAGGCATTTTGGTGATGGTATTTTCTGCCGATGGCCCTTCAGTGGGACTTTGTCCCTTCTGCAGGCTCCACACCTTGGGGGTGCCTACTGTGTGTAGCTGGCTGGGGAGGCCAGTTTCCCGGGTATGTTTCTGGGCAGAAGTTAAAGGTGTATTTCCAGTTGGGCCTCTCGCTGGCTGGGTGGGGCTGATCCTCCTGGGGTGTGCCATGAGGGCCGGGACTGTGTCTCCCTCACCACTGTCTTTCCAAGTAGAATGGCTGGCCATGTGCAAACCTCAGCAAATATTTGTCAGAGGAGGCCAATCTGCAGAGAATCTGTGGTGGGTTCCTGGAGTTTCCAAGTGAGAACATTTGAGTGTCCCTGAGTTTCTGCTCAGCCTCTATATGTGCAGGTGTCTCCAAGTTCCTCCTGTGTATGTTTGTGCCTAAGCATGCCAGTCACCAGCTTCCTCTCTGGACAGGTTGCTTTTCACCATGTTCTGAATTAAGTGTGTCCCACCTGGTGTTGGAACTGCTGATGAGGTGAGAGAGTGAGTGTGTGTGCGCCCATGTGTTAGGTCTCGGGAAGGGCAGGTCTCTGTCTTTAGGCTTGTATCTGTCTATTTCTCTTTCCAACTGCTGAGTCCACACACAAGTGTTCAGGTGTTTGCACAGGTGATGCTGCATGGGCTGACGGGATGCTGGGAGGTATGGTGTCTTTCCACCAGTGTGGTGTCTCATGGGCTCTGGCCAGGCATCATATGACTTTATTCTGTGTCTTGGTGGGTGCCCCTGCTCTCAGGTGGGTGTCTTGGTAACGATGAAACCATGGCTCTGACAGGAAGGGGCTCTATTCCCAGCCTGGGGTCCATGTGTCTCTGGGTTTCTTGAGCGTGTGGCGAGTCCCAATATCCCTCTAGGTGTGGGGGGGTCAAAGTTGTAATGTAACCCTCGGGCCTAGCTTGGCTTTGTCTTTTTTCCCTTCTAGCTACATGTCTTGGGGCCTATCCATGTTCCTGAGCTCTCTTTGGGGAGGCTCTGAGAACTTCCACTTCAGACGCAGTGGACCACACCAGAGAAGCAAACTTCCCAACGTGTGCTGAGACTGGTTTCCTAGCCAGCACTCACAGTAGGAAATCCCTGTATCTGGATGTTTCTGCTCTTTCAGGTCCGTGTGATTCTGTGATTAGGTCTCACTGACTAGAGCCAGGTAGTATCCAGGGTTTCCTCCTCAAGCCCACTCCGAGGGCCACTTTCTAGGAAACCCCAGCATAGGTGCCCTCCTCACTCCTCTGCCATCACCTACTCTGTCACCCCCAATCTGAACCCCCAGCCTGGGAGCAAGAGAGCAAAGACACCTGGCCCTCCTCCCCCAACAATGCGGCAGGTCTGAACCCCTCCCCAGGCTGTGGCGTAGCCTCCCCGGATGTAGCTCCAAAACCAGAGGGCGGAACAAGTGGAATGTAGCCGCAAGCTTCACAAATCATCCCCAAGATCCGCTACTTACCTCGAACAAGGACAACCTGTTCAGCGTGGCCTGAACCCATGGCATTGGTGACTGTGCAGATGAAGGTGGTGTTGACCAGCCTGTCCACTGAGTGGATGACCAGCTTGGGGCCGTGGGCCACCGCTGAGGCTGGGAAGACGCCTGAAGTCCTGGAGAGTGCAGGGGTCACATGAGGGAGACCCTAGGGTCACAGGCCCTGTCCCTGATGATCACCCCACAGGACCCCAACTCCAGGTACCTAAAAATACCGTTTGAGATCCCAAACCACCAGTTTCCTTTTCCCAAAGGATTTAGTGTCCAACCCCTGGTGTTTCTCCCTCAGACCCAGAAGTTCATCCCCCAACCCCTTCCTCTCTAACCCTCTCCTTCCTCAGACCCAGGAGTCTGGGCCCCAGGGGTGAATTGCAAGGACTCACGTGCTCCAGTCATAGCCTGTGGGCTCAGGGTTGCTGCGGACATCACAGTTCAGTGTGGCCTCGTTTCGGCCGAGGTACCAGTTGTCATCGTAGCCGGAGATGGAGACCTCAGGGGGGTCTAGGGAAGAAGGACTGGCTCAGAGGCGGAGAGACTCTAAATAGGTGGCAGGTAAGTGAGTGGATGGGCTCCCAAGGGGTTGACCGGCCAGTGTCAGCCAGGGGGAGCTGGGCCGATCCCTCCAGACTGTCTGCCAAGGCCGGTCCAGACACTCCGTGATGCCGCTGAGGTCATGAGGAAGTTACTGCTGAGTGCAGGCCGTGCGAGAAAGCCACTGTAGGGACCCGCTATTCCCAGCATGGCTGCAGATAAGGGCATGGGTTTGATGAAGGCGTGGGGGCAGGCGCGTACAGGCAACGCTGGGCTGGGGTGTGGTGTGTGTGCGGACAGTGACGCAAGTGCTGGTGAAGTCACTTCTTGTCAGGGTTTGTGGAAGAACGCCACAGGGAGCCTCTGTGGTTACCATCGGGGGCGTCCATGTGGCAATTTCCGGAAGAGCTAGCCTAGAACATACTGGGAAGGTCAGTACTGACCAGGCCTGGAAGGGCCAGTGTCAGGCATGGGAGGCAGAGGCTGGTGTAGAGACTCCAGGAGAGTAAGCACAGATGGTGCCCAGGGAGTGAGAATGGGTGTGTGGGAGCGACAGTGTTGGGCTGGTTCTTAGACACCATGATCTAGAGTAGCTGAACAATGTCAGCTGGGATCCCTGGGAGTCAGCAAAGATATTGCTGGGGCGGGGGTGGAGTAGTGTGCTGGTAAACAGCTCTCTGAAGAGCAGAAAAGAAGAAAAAAGCAACAGCCCTGATTCGTTGTTTGCCATTGTCCTTGCTGTAAATATTCTCCACAGCTGATTTCACGGAGGCGGGAATGGACACACAGTATGAAACTGACCAATGCTGACACATTCTGAGTCGCAGTGGTTAGGGGCAGCATGAAGAGAACTCAGGAAGCCAGCGCAGATGGCCACATCCTGATGCACTCACAGCGCACGGAGAGGGTCACGGGCAGCAAGGCTGGCTCCTCCAAGCTCTCATGCTCCACTTTGCAGGTGACCTTGACACCATCTGCTCGGCCCAGGGGCACTAAGGTGAAGCGGCTGGTGACAGTGACTGTGCCGGGCACGGGCCCCTGCACCTGGCTCTCTGTGGCCTCGCCATCCAGGGGCGAGATCCAGGAGATTCGGGCCGGGGGGCGGCCCCCCGTGGAGACACAGCGTGCCACGGGCACAGGCTCCAGGCTGAGGGTGACCTCCTGCTTTTCAGCGTGGTTCTGGGGCTGGGCTGCGGAGAGAAACAGTGGGGAAGAGTCATTTCTTCCCTGTAGTCATTCAACAAACAGCAGCAGAACACAGTGGTTAAGCCCCAACTGCCTGGGTTCAAATCCCAGTACTGCTGCTTGGCAGCTGCATGGCTTTAGACACATGCCTGTACCTCAGTTTCCTTTGTAAAGCGGAGAATATAAAGGTACCTACCCACAGCATCACTGTGCAGCCTAAGTTACTGACCTATGAAGAACTTTAGACAACGTTGGCATAATATGCTATCTCAGTGTTAGCTATTATAAAATGTTGTCATAAGATCTGGAGAAGGGAGGCCAGAGCCTGTGAGAGAGTGGGGTTGGAAAGAAAAGCCAAGGTAGAATGAAGTGGCTCAAGGTCCAGCTGTGATGAAGACCTACTTCTTTTCCTATAATCACCCATCAGCTAGTGGTACCAGAGTAGGATAGATAACAGAGATCCCCAAAGCTAGTCACTTGCTGCCCTTTTTACCCATTCTCCTGGAAGACATCATAGAATATTAGGCGGGGGCTGGGGGGAATCCCTTCATGAGCAGTAACAACCACCAGAGTTACAAGTACGTGTCTGTAAGCAAACTGTCCCCCTACTTTGGACTCAGCTCTAGCTGCCTTCTGGAGATCTCCCTTTGGGTTGTCCCTGGAGCTTCTCCATGTAGTATATACCTGGTCTCCTTCTTCCTCCCCTTCCCTTCTCCTCTCTTGTCTCCCTGCCTCTCCTGACCGCCATCTGTCCTCAGGCATCCACACCCCATAGGCCTCTCAGGCCCTGCTCCCACACATGGTGGGAGGATTCTGTGTCTGGGATGCTCTGGCCTCCCTTCTCCAGATCTTATTTTCCCTTCCTCAAGGGAATTCCCTCTCATCTGACTCTGATTAGGAACACTGGCTTCACTTGCTCTTCCAGGAAAGCAGAGTCCAGCAGGGCCTGGTGTATAGAGATGCTCTCTACAGAGCTCTTGAACAGAACAAACGATTGCACAGGAAGAGCCTCCTTATGAGGGGAAGCAGGAGGCTGGGGAGGGCAGGCTTTGAATTGTGGAAAACAACGGTGGTTTTCACGGTCTTTTGGAAAAGAAAGTATTGATATTTGCCCAGGGGTGGGACAGGGAAAACTTCTCAGACTTTCTGGGGTGGGGAGAGGCAAAATAAAGTGCTCAGAATGACGCAGCTCCTGGGACACTGCCAGGGGAAGTTGTGATCCCCAGGAACCCCCAGCTTTGGTTAAGAAATAGCACCTTTCAGTGGCCATGCTGATCTTCCTGCTGGAGCCAGGAGACTGGAGTCCTTCAGATCCCCGTCCTCCCTCAATCCGGGGATAAGTGTCTGCTGTCTTTATGCAGCTCATTTCCTTCTGCCCCACAGCTTCCCTCACCTGGTCTCTCCAGTCTACCTTTGCTCACCCCTCAAAAGGTCCTGCACACAGCAGTCATCTTTTCAGCAACCTGATGAGAGTGCTCTGGTGGCTGTGAAATCCTTCACCGGCTCCCTCTGGTGCTCTGGGTAAAGCACAGCCACCTTCACAGACCTGAGCCACGCCCTCTGGCCCTGCTGGGTTCCCCCTCCTTGGCCAGCGCTCAAGTCCTTGCCACCAGCCTCGCCAACTTCCTCTCTGTTCTAGCCAAGGGCCCTGCTTCTGCATATGCTATTCCCTCTGCTTGCACAGACACTCCTCGGCGCCTGGTCCCAGGCTCAAGGGTGGCTCCTGTTCCTATTATAGAACTTGACTAAGAGTTCCCCAACTCTTCTAAAAGATGCCACCAGGTCCCTTACTTTGATTATGACATCCAATGATGTAATCTTTCTTTGGTAATATAATTACTCTCAAATTAATTATTTCCAGGTGTGTCCCCGCACAGCCTCCACCTTGGTCAAGGGACCATCCCTCCTTGATGGCCTCCCAGCCTCAGCTCCTCTTACTTCCCCCAGGCAGCAGGAAGGAGACTGAAAAGTTAAGCTGGGTCACACCCCTTCCCTACTCAGAACTTGTTCCTCTTGCCCTCTCCAGGCAGAGATCAAAGGCATCATGTGGTTCGCAAGGCTCCCAGCATGCAGAATAGTGTCTGGCACACAGTAGGTGCGCCAACTGGCAGAAACCCACAGAGAAAGCTGACCTTCAGCTGGAGCAGAGAAAGACAGACCCCAGACGGGGGCTTCCGCACATGTGCCCTCCCACCTTGTCGCTCTGGGCCCACCTCACTCACCTATGGCTCTGAGCCAGGTCACCCCACGACTGGTTCCCTGGGGGAAGGTGACAAACTCGCAGGTGTAGTTGCCCTCGTCCTCCACGGTCAGCCCCCGGAGGGCCAGTGTGGCGTCCCGCAGTACATTCTCTGAGCCTTGCCCGGCCCCAGAGCTCTGGCTGGCGGTGACAAAGGACAGCCGCTCCTTGCCAAGCTTCTGGCTGGGGAAGTTGGGTCCATATAGAGGGTGGAAAGTGGCCACGTTCTGGTAGCTCTTGGTCCCATCCTGATACAGCCACATCACCTGCGAGACTCGGACTTCAGAAGCTGGGGACAGGAGGTGGCAGGGCAGCTCCACAGTGCTCCCCAGGCGGCCCCGCACTTCTGGCGGCACGAGGACACCCACATCCTGGGCGCCTGAAGAGAGAGGAAAGAGGTGGTCAGCTGTGGAAGGATCCCAGCGCCTTCAGGCCAGGCAGCACCATTACTTGGGGCACCCTGAATGTAGGAACCCTCCTGAGTCCGATTCCTCAAAGGCCCACGAGGAACACGAGGCACGTGTCAGATGGGATGAGACTACACATTCTGGAATTTCTGTTCAGGACCTCTGCTGTGATGACCACACTGTGGTCATGTATTCGTGTTCCAAGTAAATACCGCTGCTGAAATGTCATGTGTGCAGTGTACTCACTCACGGTCAGGAAACAAACAAAAGATAAGTGGGGGCCTCCCTGGCGGCCTAGGGGCTAAGTCTCAATACTATCACGGCTGTGGCCTGAGTTCGATCCCCAGCCAGAGAGTGACCCCCAGGGCGCAGGAGACCTCCCCTGTCTCCCTGCTGCTCCTCTCATCAGTTTATTTCAGTGGATCCACCTGTTCTGCTCCCCACTGTCTCTGGGGACTCCTCTCACCCCCCACACCTCTTGCCTACACCCCAGCTCTTGTATGCATAAATAAATAAATCTTTTAAAAAAGTTAATATTGGACATTTATACAGCAGATTTAATAGAGTGAGACACTAAAAGTAGTGGACACTTAAATATTGTGAGGGCTTTGAGATTGGGAGAGGAAGGAGATGACGTGGGGATTAAAAGATGAAATAAAGTAAAATTCAACCTATTACAGTGTAGACTGACATTGAGACTACTCTATATGCAGAAAGGCAAGGAAGCAGAACAGTGGGTATAACATGAGAGTGGTGAAAATTACGTTGATTGGAAGATAGTCTTTTTTTTTTTCTTAATAAAATAATGGTAATGATAAACGGAATCGGATACTTTCTGGGAATTCTTTTGCTCAGTATCACATTTTCTAAGTAGCCAAGACTGGGATTTCAGTCCTTTCTATGGCTGAGTAACATTCCACTGTGTGCGGAATTTTATCTACTCGTCTATTGATGGACATTTGGGCTGTTTCCACTTTTTGGTGATTATGAATCAAGCCTCTGGGAACATTTACATCCAAGTTTTTAAGTTGATGTGTGTTTTCATTTCTCAGCTTACTTTTTGGTTTCAGACCAGAAAGAGGCTACGGCGCTCTGCAGGGCCCAGACTTCTGGGTATGAATCCTGACTTTACTAACCGGTTCTATGACTTTGAGCAGGTCCTTTAACTTCCTGTGCTTCACTTTTCAGCTGTAAAATGAGAGTAATAATAACGCCCACCCTCTGGAGGCGGTGGGACGATTAAAGAATACTTGTGGAGCAGTGAGCACCAGGCACAGGAAACACGAGATCAGTGTTTGATAAACAAACAGTTGGGTACCTATAATTACACGTGGCTCTTGACACTCTGCAGGGAGGCAAAGCCAAGGGCACACACCCACCTCAAGGGGCAACTGCTGCCCAGTTGTCTGACCAGGTTGGGGGTGGGGAGCATGTACAGAGGCTAACCTCACCAAGGGAACATTAACTGGTGGCTATAAAGTGGGGCTCCCTAGCAGAAGGCAACCCCTTGGGTAGGGCCCACCCCAGGCAGTGAAGGTAGTTTTGTGACATAGTTGTCATCTTAAGGAATCTTCACATGGTCACACAACAAACCCAAAGGTGTTACCTCAGGAGAGATGGGGCTTTTCCCTCTGGAGGGATTATAGCGCACAATGTCAAGAGTGTGGGACCCTAGAGCAGAGGTGTGTGTGCGTGAATGTGTGTGTGCGTGTGTACGGGCGTGTGTGTGTGGTGTGAAGGCTTCCTGCTGGCTCTGTCACTTCCCAGATGGGTGACCATGTTTCAAACCTAAGTTTTCATACCTGTCAAATGCAGATTTGGCTCATGTAACAATTCCACTAGATATCCCCCTATAAGCTCTTCAGAGTGGCTTCCTGCAAGCCAAGTCTGACTCTCATTTGTATTTACTTCTGGCCCACTCAGCATTGTTTGTGAAAGTTCTGTAGAAAATTAACCTATAGAAACCCTATTTAAATAAGGTTAGGGGGCTAGAAGTTCTACACACATGCACAATCAGCAAAGTGCTTTGTAGCCAACGTGCCTTGTGTTTCCTGTGAGAAGTGACATCTCTAATGGGAAATGATGCTGCTTCCTTGCCCAGCGAAGAAAAAAGCGTTTCTGTTTGCTGGGCAGCCTCTCAAAAAGCTATATAAGCTATAAAACAAACTGACTTTTGTTCTGGGCAGAGCACGTGAGTATTAACCTGAGATTGCACTTGCAAAATTTCCTTTTTGCTGCTTTCAAAAAGGAAATTTGTTGGTGAAATAACAGGAGGTTTTGGTTTAAGGCGAACAATTCAATTATGAGCTAGCAGCACAGAAGGATCTGGAAGCTAAGGGTCAAAATCCAGACAAAATCAGGATATAGGACTCCTAGGGGCAAGCAACAGCTGGGGGGTGCTAAGGGGACACCTTGTGGCCCTTCCTTGGGTGACAACACCCATCACCCACCTGCCGGCCTAACACTGTGTCCCTTTCTAGCTGGTTGAGGAAGAAAGAGCATGTAGTTAAGGAAAAAGCTTCCAGCTTGTGTGAGCAGCAAAGCAGGATGGAGGTTTTCTCCTGGAGGCAAATGGGAGCCCTAGAGGGTTCTTCAGAATGTCAGGCCTGAAGAAAAGGTGAAACTACAAGAAGGATTATCAGATAGCAGAAAGGCCTCACAGAGGTCAGTAAAGAGCCAGAGGTTAAAACTGAGGCTGGACGTGGGGGAGGGTTTGGGATTTGCCAGAGCAAGGTGGAATGTGAGGAATCTGTTCCTGGGGAATCCATGTAGCAGAGACTGGCTGGGGCCGGATGGTCAGCCTGTTCAGGCAGGGCAGTCTGTCTTGTCCCCACTACCCCACAGCCTACGCCAAGGCCTGGCTAGGAGCAGGTGCTCCGTGAATAGTGAATGACATCGGGCTGAGTTGGTGTGGGTGTCATGGCAGTGCTGGTCCTTGACATTGCAGCGGGAGGCAAATATTGCCCTAATAGTCCTCAGCAAGGATGCGACGGAGACTGAGGAGGAGAGCCGATTCCTTTCCAAGAGAAGGTATGGTCCAGGCCCTCGAAGCTCACATCCCTTTCTGGATCCCTGCATCCCTACCGGGACTTGGGTTTCCTGTCCTAAAGCACAGTCCTTGTGACTGATTTTGAGATCTCCATCTCTCTTCTGAGGGTGGCTGCCCGCTGGCCTCTAGCTGCAGTCCGAGCCACTGACAGCTAAAGAGGATTTAATATCCTACCTACAGGGGGCTTACCAAGGGGCTAGATCTAACTATAAAGCTACCAGAAGCCTTTAGCACGAGTTCAATGGAGAGGCAGGGAGTGACCCATGTGGCGCAGCAGATGCTCCTGTGTCCCCGCTGCTCCCCTCAGCAGTGTATCTCAATAGATTTGCCTGTTCTGCTCCCCACCCTGTTTCTGGTGAATCCTGTTACTCCCTGCACCTCTCACCTACACTCCAGCTTTGTATGCAGAAATAAATTAAATCTTTAAAAAAAAAATCCCTACTTGTTGCTTTCTGTGGGGGTAGACACTCAAGGAGGACTTTCATTCCCAACACTCTGCCCTAAAGGCCACACACCTCTCCCCTCCCTGAGGAGCTTCCCAGCCCCCTCACCTGGCCTTCATTTTCCTTCTCCCATCTGAGATATTCATGACCTCCCAGAGCCCCACCAGGTCTTGTTCTGCTCATAATCGCAGCCTCAGTGTTTGCAAGCCCTACTCCTAGGAGAAGCTAATTTGCTGAGTGAAGGAGGCTCTCCACCCTGGTGGGTGAAGAGACCCATTCTAAGTCTCTAATTCTGAATGGATGAATAGGAGGGGGGTTTGACCCAGTAGGGCGACCCACCCATCATGTAATCTTTCCCACCTCTGTAAAATGTTCAGGGGGGACACTCCCCATTCCCATCAAAGAAATATTTCTGCAAGAAATCCTGTCAGCTCCACCCTCAAAATATAACTACCATTGGGCCACACCTGACCCCTCCATGGCCCGGCCTGGCCTCATCCATGGGCACGTGCACACCCCTGCCGACCCCTCAGTCTGTCCTTGAGAAGCCACAGCAGGCAGTGGCCCTCCTCTCTTCTCAGAGTCCTTCAGGACTTCACTCAGGAGAAAGCATAGATGTTCCACCAGTCAGGCTGAAAAGCCTAGAAAAGGAGCTCCTCTCTTCAGCAAACAGTGCACATTTTGACGGCAGTTATGCCAAATGCTTTTTAAAAATGTGCACATGCACGTCCCGCAGCTTCCTGTGCCGGTGACACCAGATCCCGCCCAGATCCCATGCTCTACACCTGCAGCTGGTTTCAGAAAACACGAGTCTATACACTCAGTGGTGCTCAGTCACTGTGGGGCATGGGAAGCCAAGGGACCTTACAAATGAACAAGCAGATGCTGCGGAGCTTGGGAAATACTTAGCAGGCTGGATTCCACCTATAAAGAAGAGCTAAGTATCACATCTATCTTGATGGGCTAGAACATAGGGTCTCTTGATTTAACTATTAAAACTATCATATGAAAAAACAAGTTAAGAAAATATGACTTTTTAAATCCTTTGGAATTATAAATTGTAAGATAGTAAAAATCAACTGAATTGCATAAAAGAAAAAAAAAAAAAGCAAAGCCCCCGTCTTCACAGTGGCCCACAGACCCTCAATCTCTCCCACCCTCCTCCCATTCTCTTCCCTGCACTAGCCACACTGGCCTCCACATGGTTCCTCAAACATGTCAGGCAGTCCTGCCTCAGGGCCTTTGCACATGCTGATCTCACACCCTGGATTACTCTTTCCTCATGTCTGCAGGTGTTTGCTCAGGGAGTTCCCTGCCCAGTCTATAAGAGACCTAAAAACTTCCTCGACCCTGGACCCTGCTTTATTTTCTCGTAGCACCCAGTGCATCTTCCCCACTGGAACACAAACACCAGGGGGCAGGGATCTCTGTCTTGTCCACTGCTGTACCTCCAGGGCCTGGCATGATACAGGAGCTCTAT